AACAAAAACAAGATATACCTATCGACAAAAAAAGTACAAAATAGGTTCTATATTGACACTTCCAGCAGGTTTTTTCTATTCATAGCCTCGTTGAAGTTAGTCGGTCGCTGTGTAACTATCGAACTACCGTTTCAACTCGTGGAGGCGAATGGTAAATGTAAAGGGGAAATAATGTTATCGCCCCGCGTGTCGACTTTTGGTCCGACTACCCCCGAGTTTTGAGACTTTTGGACCTACACAAACAACCGAGTAAACAACTTCTTTCTTGTTACGTCTTGCTAAACGAAAAGTTGCTACTACTTTAGTTTTGTTCATTATGAATGATTATTGTAATTAATTCGTATTCAACTTTTCCTTGTTTGTTTCCCCTCAAAGGGAAAGTTTCTCTTTTATTTTAATATCGTACTGTACAATTTCATGTTTACTTCTCTTTCCTTTACAAAATGTTGTATACTTTTTTACAATTGCTTGAAGTATAAAGGCTTGAACAATAGGAAACTTTTTGTTTTGATGTACGCTACTTTTCACTATGAAATACCACTTACAACTACTGTCACAATACGAAAGTTTGATGCCGTCTCGTTATCCCATAAGTAAACCATTCAATAAAGTCTACCGCATCAATATCTAACTTGATTAATGCCAAGAATGCACGCCACAAACTGCCAAACTGTAAAATTACCTCCTCTGCTCCTACTAACAAGCTAAGGGGAAAGTTTCCTTGTATCTTTGCTTGGTCTATAACAGAAAGCTTCTAGACTATCAAACTCTTGTTCGGTAACCGTTGAATATTCAAATTGATCCGTCTTGTATCCTCATCCCGTGATGGAGTGAATTTCGGATGGAACTTGGGAAATAGGTCGCAGTGTAATCTCGTGTCGTGAGAAATTATGTTCCATTCATCAAAGGAGGTGTGCCACACGAAACTCTGTGGATCACTAATCAAAGTATTTTGTTTGTGTGTTTACCATGTATCTTATTAGTTAATTTGCCGTATGGAATACTGATGTTTAAGTTGAAGGTCGAACATTTTATTTGTGTAGAATAACTTTGCTAGTAAAAATTTTATTCCAAGTGTACAAAAAAAATAAAGTTTATGATCTAAACTATGGTCGTCCATATCATTCTTCATTTTGTACAAAGACGAATTTATTTCTGTTTTCGGCGGTAGCGTTCGTCCTACTTTTTCACCGCCATCTTTTTGTGTCAATGAGGAAACCAAATGGCGTGCAGATTCCGAGAATTTTATTGAACTAGATTGTTGATGTGAACATACGATTCAGACCCATTCTAGAAAACCATATATCTTTTACATGTGTTCTGGATTTATTTAATTATACTGTTTTTTAAGACGATGGAATGGTTATTAACTTTAATACTGTCTGTACCTCTTTTTTTACTTCGTAATGAGTACTCAGTTTAATGCTCATTATGCGCAAGTTCCCAAGAAAAAGTAAACATTTTCATGAGTAAAGTCTACCCTTTCGTGTAGAGAATCAATAAAATCCCGGCACGTAGGCTTGTCTAGCGTAATTAATCAAATGGTAATTGGTCATTGTCTTATCCGCCTACATTACTCGAGGGAGCATCGCAATCAATACCGTCTCAAAGGGATCGCTTGTCAAAGATTACCGCGTGCCAGTAAATTATCATGTTTGTGCAACTACCCTCAGAAGGACGAACACAGATATCTGTAATTAAACATCGCTTTCCAATTAACGGACTGAGACGTACGGTGTACCCTCAAAATGCTATCAGTCCTGTACACGGTGAATCAATGTGTCTACTACGGAAACGGGTTTGTCTCTCATCTGATAATATCGGCAACTAGCTCTGTGGTCGGACAAAGCGGTCCTATATCTCCCGCGTTCCCGATGAAAGAGGTTTTATTTGACATGTATGCCGAACTTACTGGTCCCCTCGACATAATTTTAGAAGATATTGTGCATCAGACATTCACTGTATTTTTATTATGAAGCAGGAATTTATCAAATACTTTGATAGACATACTGGTGCATGTCCCATGTTCTTGAAAAAAGGCCAGTAAAGAAAACCTTGCCAAAAGTCAGTCGACGTTAGACTCCTTGGAACAAAGTTCACAGAGCCAACCTCAGCAATCGATAGTCCAACGACCCGAGGTGCAATAACAATTTATTGGTTTCAAGTAACCATCGCCATTCGTCGATAAGAAAACGTTTCCCGAACGTTAATTAAACAGATAGCGATGTGGATTGCACACATCTATCTGTCGGGACGGCAATTCGGCCGAAGTGGATCCAAGAGTTTGAGATGTGTGCGGTGTTCTTTATGCGACCGTCCGGCTCGCAACCCGAAGGAACGCCGCACCATAAGGAATTAAAAGTTCTGCTTTGAGCTCACTTTGAAATTAAACTACCTACGTTACGGATTTATTTTGAAATAAATACCTAAGTCAGTTAACATTTAAAATATTCGAGCTCACGATGCGGTTTTTACAAAGATACGTGAACGCTTATAAATGGATTTAAAGTAAACGTAAATTGCACCGCAAGGCGGCGAGCTCAAATAAAACCGCTCGTAACATTCACCAGTTACGTGGCAACAAAGTACGATTAATATTCGTTTATAACATCGTGCAGAAATGATACTAAAGTAATTCAAACAATAAAAAATATTGTGATAATTGAAAGTATAGACATAAATTGTGAAATCTACTCTCGAGAGACGAAAACAAAGAACATTATCTCCACATCTAACAACGGTCACTCTTACAGTTTCATTGTAAAATTGGAAAATAACCGCAGCCCATTACTCAAGCAGCTGGCTTTACTGACAGCTCAATATCATTATCAGCAGCACTTATCTTATAATTGAACGAACAGTTTTTACAGTTAACAGACTAACTGTTGAAATCTTGGGAACGGAACGGAGCCGAACGTACAATTACTCCGCATATGGCCTAGGGTTGTCCATACGGAACAGTTTCTGATTGATCAACTCTGTCGAACTCTCGTCTCGGACCTGTCACGTTCGACTAATGACCACTCGCATGACTTGGTATAAAAAGGAGAATTAGTATCTATTAAGCTCGTGTTTGGAATTCTATTCGGAACCATAATACTAGCTTGCAAATACATATACATATAGTTATGCACTTGAATTACAACGTTCTTTTTTTGAAATGTCGTTTTGAAGCGCTACTTACTTACTTTTAAATTGAAGATACTATCAGACAAAATAAAAAGGTCCATAAAACTACAGCAACTTTTACTCTACATTCAGTTTTATTTTTATCTCGAATAGATACGCATTTAGACAAAGCTGAATCAGAAATTCAAATGAATCTAAAAGAGCAAAGTCTAGCTAAATGTGTTATTTATATCTTACATACGCTTATGTAAATACGATATACAGCTAACCGGAATTTATAAAGTTTACACAAGTAAATCCGCTTATAAAATCTTTACATTAGTGAGTTATTATTATCGTAGTAGCGTCTTAGTCTGTGCGATCAATTAAAACTTTCTCATTTAGTTGGGCAGGCCCGTAATCTTCGGCCGAGTTGTTCCCCTCTCAGACAGATGCTTTTTACGGAAATTACTGTACATTCACAGATATGTACAGTTCTGTAGCCGGTCGGCCAGTACACTCGCGCTCACAACTTTTAGTTGCGTCGCAAAGTTGATGCGAAGTTTACAAGGGATTATATGAATCGGCGATCTGTTCGCAGTTTGCAAGCCTGACCTGTTTAGAAGTTTCTACTTGTTTTTATGTTTGCATAAAGGCAATAGTGAACACACGGACGCTGTTTCAGCGTATAACTTTACTTACGAAGTCACAGTGGCATGCTTCTGTAAGTTGAGCAGTCGCACTCACAACTTTTAGTTACACGTCGAACTTTACGAAGTTATTACATGTTAAAAGCGAATATAGATAAAGTAAACTAGTTTTTTATACTTGTAATGGCACGCCTAGTTTAATAATGCTGTACGTTCACAAATACAATTTCATTAGTAACGAAATTTCAACACGTAGTTTTTAATTTTATAAGTGAACTATGTTAGTAACCAAACATCGATTGATATCAGATACTTGTCTATTGTCACTTTATTTGAAAGGTTGAGACGTGCCTATTGTGAATAGTGTTAATGTAACTAGACGTTACACGTGTCAACGTTCAATTTGTTGAAGTGTATAAATAGAACTTATTCACTGACACGAGTAACCATAAATATTCGATCGATTCAACTTCAATAAATATAATTAATTCACAGCTCACAGTTGTTTAAGGACAATGTCCCCAGACTATGTTCTAAATTAAGGCCCCATTATATTTTAGCAGACTTCAAAGAGAGGGAGTTTTCACATAAAAGTTTGAGTTCAGCCTGTATGCAGGAACTGACAGTTTTAATGACAAAACATTTCAGAGCTTCAATAGAAATGGCTGTAGGGCGTTTGTATACATTCATACCATAGGTATCGTACGTGTAAGTTTGTATGGAAACAATGCAGGTAATACCCACCGCTGTAAAGCAACAATGTAGTTCCCCGTCCACCGTTTATGGACCGTAAAATATTACGTCTACGAGATCGACGCTACGACCAGGCGTAACCACGTACCTAAAACTATACAACGAGATGTAGTTAATGTCGTATTATTTTATGTACTATGATAACGTGACGTCACTTAATTTTCCTCACATTACAACATATACCTACATTCCTATATCCTCCAAACGATTTTTCCTACGATTCGCAGCGTTTGACAAAGTTCATCAACCTTTGACCCTTTGCAACCAACCTGTTACGATCTAGGGAGATGGGGCGACGTATGCAACCCTTTTATATGTGAACATCGCCGGTTAACATGCACACGAGCGTATTGTAAGAGTTTAAGGGTCGTTTATCCTTATGAAAGAAGGGGTTTAATCAGATGAATGTAGTGCGTAATCTACTTTGCAGCATTTTGTATGCACTTTACTCTTTATGCAGCATCTGTTTTTGTATTCTGGAGCTTGGTTTATTTTACTAGTTTATTTGGTTTTTGCCCCTGATTGTCCTTTGAAATGTTCAGTTCCAAAGTGATAAATGAATGAACAAAGTCTAACAGCTCTTTATTACTTGTTACAGGTGTGCAGTGAAAGCATTTGGAGGCAGTGATCAGTGAAGTTGCGGACGGCAAAGCCGCCTACGTCGTGTCGTGTGTCCATAGAGTGTGGTGCGCGAGTGTGCGTGTCGACTTGCCTAGTGCCTGTGACAGTGCCAGTGTGTGTGTGTGCGTGCGTGCGTCCGCAGTGGCGCCGACGCCGGCGTCAAGTCAATGCCGGTGTGCCGATGGAGCGGTGATCGCGGCCTGACTACATCACAAGAGCAGCGCTGGTTAGTTGGATTTTGAACTTCAGTACGTGCGATCAAATGTAAAACCTTTAAATAATGACCTAAAGCACTCCTTAAGGGTCTGGTGGTATTTTAAAGATGAGCAATCCATCGTATCATTCTTCCTGTCTCAAAATATGTTTGATGATGAACTCGTGGTGATAGATACTAAAGAAGCTTGCATTAACGTCTTTCAAAATATCGTGGTAAATAGGCATAATTCTAGTACTTAGTTATGTGGACAAGATAGTACTCATAAAAACTATCAACGTGATTTGTGACATTCCCAATTTGGATTGTACCTAAACGTTATCAAGTCCTACTCAGAATAAACGATCTTAGCGTTAACTGTCATATTTTATTTTATAAGTATGACTAATTCGATTAAGAAAAAAGAGGCAATCAATCATATAAAACAAGTTGACATTAATTAAAACTTGGTTGACTTTAAGAAGAGTAACTAGGCTTTGGTACTTATATTACAGTTAACCTTGCCTATAATTTTCTCATTACATCCAATTACACTGCAAATCGCTTTGTAATACCTAGTCGCTAATAATTTGGACTAAAACTACTTTATAAAACAGATTAGCGGTGTGGGCGTTCGATTCAATCACTGGTAATTGACACATTACAATATAAGAACGGAAGGCGCCACTATCAATCAAATCAAATTTTAATGCCTACCAAAACCACCTAAATTATATTGTAATGGAATCTAGTTAGATGTGATATGTGTATAAATAAAATAATTCATCATCATTTGTAACAATCCAAGTAAATTTTAAGGTATAGAATAAGAAGTCTTGATTGTAATATTTGGCAGTAGGTTCCTACTAAAAAGGTATAATAATAAATCCATCCGTTATGATTAAAATGCGCGGTTATTTTGAGAAATTCTTTCTTTATCATAATTTTGTGTCAGTATCCACGCTGTCAAATGTTGAACTTTACTATCTGCGATAAATAAATAATACCTTTGCTTCCTTTCAACAACAGCGTTTGACAACTTGGTTAACTATTTACTGTAAGATGACATGAAGATACACTTATAGTGAAAATCCACCGGTCACCTAACTAGCGATTTATCGATAGACATATGATAATCATTTTGGTAAAATGTTTCCATCTATCATACGTTATTAAAATTACCTTAATATCCCTGCAGCAGTATAAGGTTATAATAATAAAGCACAGAGTTACAAACGAATGTTCCACGCTATAAATGTTGAATGAAGCAATTGCTCAGACGATAAAAAAACTTGTTATTATTCATTATGTTTTTCATTACAAGGCGTGTTTGTATTCTGTCACCGCTGTTATGAGCGTATTATCAGTTTTATGTGTAACTGCATACTACATTGTATTATCCCTTATCTTTCAAGTTCTGTTTGCCAGCGATAATTGTATTAATTAGTGTGGCAAGTCGAGTAAGGTTCGTAATGTTCTTATAGGTGCGTCGTTATACAGATCTAATGTGATGTAAGCGTATGGAACGTAGTTGTCATGAGATTTCAGATTTATTTTACACCTTCTTTTTCTTTAAAGTCTGCATATGTAGTTCTCTCATTTCCAAGGTCTTTATCGTATATATTCCAAAGGTCGAATATTTTTCAGTTCATATCCAAATATTACCTACGAAGTAATCTTATATTCAATAATTTTCATTTACTCATTTTATTATAAATGTAATGAAAAACATTGTTTGTTATCTTAAAAGAAAAAACCTTGCATAAGCACGCCAAAACAATTTGTTTCAATATTTACCATTATGATCAATAAGGTACGTGAATGAAATACCTAGCTAGACAAAGTTAATATTGTCGTTAACTTGCTCCGACACGTCACCAATAATGGCACTAGACCTTTCCATAATAAATAATAAATGTCTCGTTTAAGAGGACACAGGTGCTGCTTAACGAGCGTTCTTGCCTTCTCAGGTCAAGATAAAGAAAATATTATATCGTTTGTTATATACATTTAGTACATATATTCAATGTCTAGCCGCTTATTATGTCTATATGACGTGACTGCTGACTGCTCATGTTTTATAATCAAAGTACTATTTTTCGATCTAAATGTTTATGAGAAGAATAGGATACTAAACTTAAAAACTGTAAATAAACGACTATACTAAATGAGGCCGTATTTAAGTGGGTGGTTCGAACCCATACTCAAAATATCTTCACATTTAATGGGTACATTATATTTATATTCTCATATCTCAAATTAGCACTAGTTTATTACGTTCATCAAAATACTAATTATTGTTTTAAAAGTAGCACGTGCCAAATACATCTTGGCACCTGTTACAAAAATAGTTGAAACACATGCACACCTTATAATAGACACGTTTTCCCTTTCATTTGTCAAATCATTGTAATCTATGCAATACTTTCTGAAATAGATACAAAATTATTTATTGGATTGTCAGCGCCATAAGATGACATATTAATCTATACTACACAGATTAAACCTAACCGTCCATAAACAGCAAGCTTATCAGAAGCAATACGTTAGTATTACCTAAATAAAGTAGGATAAAGTAGAAAGTAGATAAAACATGGCAACCTATATCGTATATTTCAGCAGTACACGTTTCGCCATCGCTATTTCTCTGAATTTATTCGAGTCCAGCCTCTCTAAATATTTCACATACAAGGACAACGTTCTTTACGAGATACAAGAGAAAAATCTCGGCTATACGCCGTTCTTGACCACGGGGGATAAAATATCGCGAGCATAAACCATCAAAGCGCCTTTGGCAGGTCTTTTATAAAAATACTTAACGTTCAAAGAGCGAAATACTTTATATTTTTGATACTGAAATACAAAAGAATATCTTTGATGGTGAAATGGAAAAATTACCTTAGCATGTTTATTGAGAAATGGTTTTGATAATATACTACTTTTGTTAACAGCTTTCTCTGATAAAGTATTGTTCACCATTATTACTGTGGACTATTGGGGACAATATTAAGTTAGTTAATTTAAAAGTAAGAACTTAATGAATACTTATCTTTTAAACTGTACTATAAAGAGCGTTACAAGATTTTTATTCAAACAAACAAAACAAGCTATAAAAAAGACACAATCAGCTTTTCCATTTACTTCAACTATAGGTAGAATTTCAGAAATTCCCAACTAAAAATGGTACGAATATATATAAAGTTAGTTTGACTACTTGAACTAGTTTTAGAGCGTCCGCATTCTGTGCTATTCCGTCCGGCATCGGGACGGGACAAATATTTGTTGACCTACATACTCACTTAGAATTTGGTGAAGATTAATTTACAAATGCTAAAAGTTAAAACTATGAGAAATATTCGCGTGAGAGCCCTGTTCTAATTTTCGTTAATTGTTGATCGTTTCGCGTGTATCCGCCGGCCCACCTGGCAACTGTTAAGGTCGAGTTCACGGCGCCTATAAAACATCGAATTACCGCGTTTCGTATATATTTTTTTCTAGGAAAGTATTTATAATTTTAGTTCTCGCCAAGGTCAGAATTAACGAAAACGTTATTTATCACGATCTTGGTTAGCAAGCCTTAAGGTTTTTAGACGGAGGTAGTTATGAACCTTCTTTTGTGAATTTTTTGGATCGTATCTGTAGCGTTATCGGTATTTTATTGAATTGATAATATAAATTATATTGAGTCACAATTATCTAGTCAGTAATTGACGTGACTGTCCCCACGTATCTCTTGATATTTATTTAATGACTGCGTAAGTATTGATAGAAGTTTCCATGCGATGTTAAGTGTCGAAAGTAAACCTAAATAAAATATATCCTAACTCGTTCGTCGACTAAGTGAATCCCAATAGCCGTTTTTAAAAAATGCAGTTGATTGACCTTGACCTAGATAAATAATACTCCTTAAGCGTAGAAGTTGTACTCGAACGTTGAAGGTAGGTATGCTGCTTATTTAAAAATGCAATTAAGTGACCTTGGCCAACATACTGCCCTTGAATATTGTTAATAGGGCACTTGTGTTTCAGGCAATAGGTTACCGACATTTAGTTTTCAAGTATTGTTTGAGATTTAACAAATATTTTAAGTATTTCTTTTTGATAATTGACATTTGGATTATTCAATCACGTTTTTGTAAATAAATCTTACAAATGTCTAAGATAATGCATACGCATAACATCACATCCGCTCCGTCGCTCAGGAACACAGTAACTAATTCAATCTATTTCCTTTGTTGACACGGAATCGCAAACTTGCTAAGGGAAAAAACAGCTGACACAATTTCTGCCTTTCCCGTGGCTGTAGGGAAGCTCCAACGTTTCCTTATTGACATGAAAATGTGCTACTGTGTGTTGCCACTGGCATTGTTTGCGCCGCAGTATTGATACTGAGTCGATAAGGACGCTCGACTTTGTGTATTGGAAGCCGTGCAAAAGATAGCCTTTTTGCTTTTCCCAGAGTATTAGATAAGAATCACTAAACATAGAATTGATATAAATGCTAAGAACATATGTTAATATAACCGAGTAAGGTAAATATTCATTTAACAGATATAGTTGATAGATAACAAGACCACATAACCAAACTTAAATCCTTTCGATTTAGGTTTATAAATTAGTTTAAAAATCCTTATTCCATTACAATCATTTGTTGTAAACATACGTAAACTTGTCCACTTCAATCATTTTCAACAAACATCTCATGATACTTTAGTAATTGAGACGACATAAATAAAGACACGATGATTGGAGGGGTCAGGAGAACGATGAACAATGTCCCACTAGTCAACAATTCACGTCCATTTCAATTCCTAATTCTGCATCTAGAAACACGTCACGCAGCCATGACTCACGACTCTTGTCTCCGGAGGTAAGGACAGGTGTATCGTTAATTAAATTAAGTAGCAATGACTCAACGTTGTTTGTTATAACATTTTTTTTTAATAAACTTCTTAAGACGTTTTTTATAAATGCTTTTCTTTAGAATATACGAAGGTTTTATTCGGGTTGATAATTGATTCAGCATCTATTTCA